CACTCCGTGAGCAATGCTGGCTGTGGTGTCTTCAGCCAGACCACAGCTACTGAGGCTTCCCTCAGGTAGAGCAGCTTTACAGTGCGCGTTCCAACCGCAATCGCACTAGGGAGTCTGGGAAGTGACCCACGCTGGAACCTGTTGCCAACCGTCACCAGCCGGGAGCTGACAGTCAGCGTGGCAGGCTACCGGCCGTTGGGCAGGGCTGGTTAAGCACTGTTATGCACATCTGCAATCCCAGCACTTGGAGGCCGGGGTAAGAAGACCACAAGCTCAAGGCCTGGGCTCCACAGAGAGACCCTGTGGAGCCCAGGGTCCAGTGAAGAGGACAGGAACTGTAAAACAACAGTGAAGAGGCAGGAACTGTAGCTCAGTGTGCACCCCCTAAACTCGCACCTCCCAAACTCAGCACAACTTAGTTCCATCTCTCTTAACCCAAACACAGCGTCTATCAGGGAACTTGGCTGCTGACATCAGCCTCTTGAACTGGAGCCATGCCATAAGGGCACTACCACGCCTGCTGGTGCCCGGCTCTCCAGATCTGCCCAAGGCGGCGCCAGCTCCACACGGATTCCAAATTGCTTCACAAGGAATGCACAACTGCGCTTCACCTGCCAGGCTCTTTCTGAGAACTAAAATGTATAGTATTTTAAAAGCATCCTTAGAACTGTTCACAACCATTAACCCATCTCCCCATTCAAGCATTTCTAGCTCCCGTGGGGCTCTGCTCTGGAATAAGTCTACAATAACTTCCTTTTCTCAAAGGATCTGTAGAGTCCTGAGCTCCGCCCTTTCTGAGTCAGGCAGACAATTCTATCCTTCCAGCTGAAAGAGAGCAAGCAGAGCTCAGCAGCCGTACGGGGTGATACAGGCTCTGTGTGTAAGAACCTCAGCACCACAGTCCCCACAAACGGCCTTCGTAGTGGCCCTTCAGCCAGGGCCTTCCGCTGCCTCGCTTCTAGTTTGGTTTTGTAGAGGAGCGGCGTAGCCCCAGGAGAAGATGGAGAACTTGGAGCTTTACCATAGAGCAAGCTTCCCGGCTCTCCTTACTGTGACAGGCGGCTTAGTTCCCTAAGCCTGTTGTCTCCTCCACACGAAGGCGGTGGCAGCAGCCCTCTCTCGGGGTGGGGCTGTGAGCAACTCAGGAGACAAGGCCTGAGCACCTGCAGCCTGCCCCAGCAGATTTCCCGGCTAAGCGGGCCTTCTGGATTGCTGGTGGCAGCTGCTTTGCTTGTGAGCAAAGAGCAGTTCCCACCTTACCAGCTCAGAGAGAAAGACATGGAAATACCCCCTCCTCTGCCTCAGCCAAAAACAAGAATGAAAATTCCTAAACAATGAAAAAACAAACAAACCACCCCATTAGTCAATCACAACCACATAACTAATGAGGATGTGACTTTTTTTAAGATGCTAACACTTACATGTGCCTGGAGTCTTTTGTTGTTGTTGTTGTTTTAAACAACAGGTTGTAATTTTTTCCTTGTGTTTTGAGGCAGGGTTTCTCTGTGTAGCCCTGGCTGTCCTGCACTTGATCTGTAGACCAGGCTGGCCTCAAACTCACAGAGATCTTCCTGCCTCTGCCTCTGCCTCTTGAATGCTGGGATGAAAGGCGTGCGCACCAGGCCTGGCAACACTTAATCATGGAACCTGGAGCTACCTACAGCACCAGAGGCTCCGGCATCAGTGTGGTCCACCGTCTGTGAAGAGACGTTTGTTCTTAACATGTCTTGTGGTAAGAGTCACTGTATCTCAGCCTAAAGCCACAGTGATATTTATCTGGTCCAGGTTGCCAAATGAGTAACTAATACCTTAAATTTCATAACCAAAATTGTAATGTTTAACATAAAAGCAGGACTACGTTATATCCTTTTAAGAAAGATGATGATTTCCCCAAGCTTGTGAAGACGATAATATTTTAGCTGTCAGAAAGATGTGGGCCTCAGGAGACCTTGATTCAAGCTTCACGGAGCCATACACAAGTTGCTAAATCTCTCTCTGAGGACAAAAGTCCCTCCTTTATAGTATAGTCACATACAGTAATCGATAGTGAGATTGGGGTGGCACAGGTCTTCGGGCCCAGTATTTGGGAGGGCAAGGCCAGGGGACCTTGAGCTCAACACTAAGCTGGGTTACAGAGAGGCCAGAGTCATTTGGAGCTGCACAGCTAAAACTTGTCTCAAACAAGCAAGCAAACACAAACCAAGGCTAGGCAGAAATGTGTCTCGGTCACAGAGCACTTGCCCATAAAGGTCTAACCCATAAGGTTAGACCTCAGTACCACACTCACAAACATGGGTTGGCAGCTGATAGCTTCACAGATGGGAAAATCACAGGGAAAACTGACTAAAACCTCTCATTCCACAGGCAGCTTCTCTAGCCTGCCCTCAGCTGTCTCCCCTCCACATCTGTCTGTTCTTGCCACATCTGTCTCCAGGTGGATCTCATCTCTCCCTGCAGAGCAGATGCAGCCTGCTCTCTCTGCTTCTCCAGGACCTGTGAACGCAGCTCACACATTTCCCCAAGCTACCGAGAACCAGCCATCACTAAAGCGTCATGGCTTCTAATAAAACACTGTTCCTCATTACGAAGCCCTTGAGAATAATACTCTTGCCTACTGCCTCTTCCTGTCAAGTTGGAGCTCTGACCTCTTGGCCTGTGACTCTTCAGTTCTGTCACCATCACTTAGAGCCACCTCAAAGAGTCTCCTAAGTGCCTCCATGGTAATAGACCCAAGGCTCCTCCAAAATTCCTGGGATGAGCTCATAGGCCACAGTGCAGGGAGAAGCAGAGACCTTACTGCACAACCATCTGCTCAGTGAACCTAAAGAGAAGAGAATCCCTCCACACAGTGCAACGGAAGCCACTCAACCCAACCCAACCCAAGCCAACCCAACTCAACCCAAGCCAACCCAACCCAAGCTAATCCAACTCAACCCAAGCCAACCAACTCAACCCAAGCCAACCCAACTCAACCCAAGCCAACCCAACTC